CCCAGAGCCCCCACCTGCGCCGCCGCTGCCGGGAGACCTGCCGCCCCCACCCCCGCCACCCCCGCCACCGCCCGGCACTGACGGGCCAGTGCCTCCGCCGCCCCCACCGCCTCCAGGAGGTCCCTCTGATGCCCTTGGAGGGCCCGGCCTAGAGATGGGCCCAGGTGAGTGGAGTGGACCGCCTGGGGCGCAGGGCTGGCGGGAGATTTAGGGAGGGGCCGGGTCTCAGTGTCCTCCAGGACCCTCTGTCTGGGGGTCTCCTACGGCCTCCTGCCTGCCCTGTCAGGCCTCGCTGGGTCCCCGTTCCCTCCAGCGCGTCCCGCGCTCACCACTCCCTCCTTATCTCAGGAGTGAAGGCCAAGAAACCCATCCAGACCAAGTTCCGAATGCCACTCTTAAACTGGGTGGCCCTGAAACCCAGCCAGATCACCGGCACTGTCTTCACAGAGCTTAACGACGAGAAGGTGCTGCAGGTGAGTGTGGCTCTGCCTCGCTCCCAGCGGGGGCACCAGAGGAGGATGGGACTTGCCTGATCATGCTCCGCACCGGGAGTGGTCATCTACTCCACCCCATCGCACAGATGAGGATGGGGAGGCCCAGGGAAAAGCGAACTGGACTGGTGCATCTGGCAGGCAGTATCCTGACTCCCCTGGAGGCTCTGTCCTCCATCCCTGCAGAGGGCACATCCCTCCCTCAAGTCTCACCTCCCTTCTTGCTCTTTTCCCACCGCCTTCCCACAGACAACCAGGGCCTCCGCCCTCCCGATTCCACTCTGTTTTCCAGAAGGGATGTGTTCTCTTGCCTCTAGGCCATTGCTCACACTGTTCTCTGCCCAGAATGCTCTTCCCTTTCCCCTTTTTGACTGCTGGCCAATTCAGCACTTCCTTCAGCTTTAGTGGCCCCAAGTCTGGGTCCTCTGGGTTGTCTGGTTGTCTTTCTCCTCCTCCTCCCTGATGCTTCCCCTGTATCCTGATCGGGGCCCGTCAATCTTGTTACTCTTGTTTCTCTGCTGGTGGCCTGGTAAGGGCCAGATCAGTGGCTCTAGCACTGAGCACAGTGCTCAGCCAGGAGTAGGCCAGGTCTTGGCCCCACCCAGCCCACCATCTCTCCCTGCACCCTCAGGAACTGGACATGAGTGACTTCGAGGAGCAGTTCAAGACCAAGTCCCAAGGCCCCAGCCTGGATCTCAGTGCCCTCAAGGGTAAGGCAGCCCAGAAGGCCCCCAGCAAGGCAACACTCATCGAGGCCAACCGGGCCAAGAACTTGGCCATTACCCTGCGCAAGGGCAACCTGGGGGCTGACCGCATCTGCCAGGCCATTGAGGCGTAAGTACCCCTCCCCTGGGCTTGTGGGCAGCCCTGCCCCTCTGCTAGGCCGGGGTCATCAGGCCGATCTAGTAAAAGAGCCTCTGCTGGGGGACAGAGCCCATCAAGCTTCATACAACCCTGGTCAGGGAACTCTGTCCCCATTTTTGGGCTGAGAAAACTGAGGACCTCCTGTGAGGCCATGCCTCGATTGGGATGTCCCCGTACCCTCCCTGCCTCTTTGCCCAGCTGTGGGCACTCAGGCTTAGGGATTTACAGATGAGCACCTGCCACCCATGTCTGATGGGGACCGGGGCTTCCCTTGACTTTGACCTCTTATTCTCTGAAGCTGTTGGCAAATAGTAAATATTGAAGTTCATTTATTCCATCAAGGGGGTGGGTAGTCTGTTGTCAGGAACCAGAGGGTGTGGGGTGATTACCCACTCTCCTCTCCCCTCCACACACAGCTATGACCTGCAGTCTCTCAGCCTGGACTTCCTGGAGCTTTTGACCCGCTTCTTGCCCACGGAGTACGAGCGCAGCCTCATTGCCCGCTTCGAGCGGGAGCAGCGGCCGCTAGAGGAGCTGTCGGAGGAGGACCACTTCATGCTGCGCTTCAGCCGCATCCCGCGTCTGCCTGAGCGCATGGCCACGCTCACCTTTCTGGGCAACTTCCTGGACACAGCCCAGCTGCTCATGCCGGTGTGGGCGGGGCGGGCAGGGCGGTGGCACCTGGGTTGGGGATGGGGTAGAGGTAGCTCCCAGCCTGGGCTCCAAGGGGGCATCTGGGAGTACTGAGCCTCCTGATGGAGGAGGCTCCATCTTACCTCACCTCCCCCATCTCACCCCCAGCAACTGAATGCCGTCATCGCAGCCTCAATGTCCATCAAGTCCTCTGACAAACTCCGCCAGATCCTGGAGGTGAGAGCCTGTTCTGGGTAGTATGAGGAGACCCTGCTGGTGGCCTGGTCCTGCCCACCTAGGATGCAACAAAGATAATGCTCCCACTTCTCACATACGTGCTCAGAAGGAGCAAGCGAAGGCAGGGACCGGGGTTTGGGAATAGGCTGCAGCAGCCTTGTCTATAACAGCATACCTGACACCCTGCCTAAGGGGTCAGCCCCTCTGGGGATTGCTGTGTGAGTTGCAGAGCACCCACACCAGCTCAGGGGAGTGTCCGGGGACCAGTGGAAATGGCATCAGAAAGGCAGTGATCCACGTCCTAGGAGGGGGTGTTGGCAACAGTTTTGGGTTGGACTAGCAGACAAAAAACTGGGTGCGTCCATGGTGATAACAGTGCACATGGGTGAGACACATATACACACACGTCCATGTGTCATGGACCTGACCGATCTGTGCAGAATACAGGGGGGCTGAGTGTGTGGGGCTTGCTTCTTGCCACCTTTTCTCCTCCTTGTGCAACATATACTTAAGCCCCAGCACCCTCCTGAGTCTCTCCCCTGCCTCCCCCAGATCGTCCTGGCCTTCGGCAACTACATGAACAGCAGCAAGCGTGGAGCAGCCTACGGCTTCCGGCTCCAGAGTCTGGATGTGGTGAGGACGATGAAGAGGGGTCCCTGGCCTGGTGGTGGGGGCTGGCTGGTGGCTTGTGGCTTATAACAGGTCCTTGTGCAGCTGTTGGAGATGAAGTCGACTGACCGCAAGCAGACACTGCTGCACTACCTGGTGAAGGTCATTGCTGAGAAGTACCCACAGCTCACAGGCTTCTACAGTGACCTACACTTCTTGGATAAGGCGGGCTCAGGTATGGGGCACCCAGGTCCTTGAGTGGGGGCAGGGGCTCAGCCCTGGAGCCACCAGGCTGATGCGGGTTGGGAGAAAGCAAGGGGACCATAGGATGAAACGGGGTGGGAGTGTTGCCTCTGATCCCCTGACTCTCTCCTGCCCTCCCCTCCACCCAGTGTCCCTGGACAGTGTCCTGGGGGATGTGCGCTCCTTGCAGCGAGGCCTGGAGTTGACGCAGCGAGAGTTTGTGCGGCAGGATGACTGTGTGGTGCTCAAGGAGTTTCTGAGGACCAACTCGCCCACCATGGACAAGCTGCTGGCAGACAGCAAGACTGCTCAGGTGGCCTGGGGCTGCCCGGCCCTGGAGGAGGGGAGGTGGGCTGGGGCACAAAGGAGTACTTGCCACTGGGGCACTAGGCAGGGGTGTGTAGCCAAAGGCCTGGAGAGGCCTGGCCATAGCTGGGACCCCTTGGGGGGATGGAGCAGGAGTGAGGGGCCATCCTGCCTGAAGGAGCAGAGATGAGGTGGCTAGTGTCCTAAGGGGTAGAGAGCAGTGTCCGGCTCTGAGGAGTCCATGTTGTGGGGCTGACCGGTGGTGCCTGCAGGAGGCCTACGAGTCTGTGGTGGAGTACTTCGGAGAGAACCCCAAGACCACGTCCCCGAGCCTGTTCTTTTCCCTCTTTAGCCGCTTTGTCAAGGCCTACAAGGTATGTATGTCTGGGGGGTGGGCTGGGAACCCTGCAGGGCACTGACGCCCCTCCACATGGGCTGCTTCTGTCTAGGGGGTGGGATAGGGAAGTAGGCAGGGCTAGCCTCATGGCGACCCACTTGGCCCCTCAGAAAGCTGAGCAGGAGGTGGAACAGTGGAAGAAAGAAGCTGCTGCCCAGGAGGCAGGCACTGACACCCCAGGCAGAGGGGAGCACCCAGCACCCAAGGTAGGCAGCTGCCCCTGAGCCTGGCACTGCAATGCAGGGATGGTGGTATCCTCATCCCTCTCTGGCACCACCCCACACCCTCACTGTTACAGGCAAACCCTGCCCAAGGTGAGGTCAGTGCCCCAGGAGCCTGGGATGAGAATGGGTTCCTTCTGCTCAAGCCAGCTGTCATTGCTGTGGGGGACCAGGCAGACAGATGTTCTAGGGTTTGGTGGGGTGGGGGGATCCTGGAGCTATATATCCCCCTCAGTCCCCACCCAAGGTCCGGCGACAACAGATGGACCTCATCTCTGAGCTGAAACGGAAGCAGCAGAAGGAGCCACTCATCTACGAGAGTGACCGCGATGGGGCCATTGAAGACATCATCACAGGTAAGGGCTTGGTCAGGCCTCTGTCCCATCCTCAGTCTGTCCTTCTATGCTGTCCTCTGTTCAACCCCTCCACTCCTGGGGATCTGGCTGCCTCACTGCCTCTGGCTACCTTTGCTGTTTTTCTTTCCTTTTTCCTTTCTCTATCCCCTCCTCCCCACCCCCTCAGTGCTCAAGACCGTGCCCTTCACGGCCCGCACCGGCAAGCGGACATCCCGGCTCCTCTGTGAGGCCAGCCTGGGAGAGGAGATGCCCCTCTAGCCCCCAGGTACCCAGCAGCCTGGACTCTGATCCCAGTGCTGCCCACAGTGGGAACTGAGTCATGCTGCCCTCTCCTGGGCCACTGCATGGCCGGGATGTTTGAGGGGGGGTCTGGAAAACATAAACAGTGCCCCCTCCCACATGCACACACCCTGGGTCCTTAGAAGGGTGAGCCTGTGCCCTGGAGCCATGGTCCCAGCTCTGGGCTGACTCCTGACTGGTAAATGTGTCTCTTCTGGCCGCCAGATCTGCGGAACCAGCCTTACATCCGCGCAGACACAGGCCGCCGCAGTGCTCGCCGGCGACCCCCGGGACCCCCCCTGCAGGTCACCTCTGACCTGTCACTGTAGCCACTATTTCTGCAGGTGGATTCTATTTCTGCTGTGGGCAGGCTCAATGAAGTTATTCCTCAGTTCGGCTGGGCCGGGCAGCCTCCTGCTCCACTGTGTTTGGCCATGGGCCCGCCTCAAATGGGCCGGCGCATCCTCCTCTTGCCACAGAGGGCACATTGCTGGCCCCTTCCCACCAATGCTGCTTGCAGCAATTCCCGCCTGCCACAGTCCCCCACCAATAGCCATACTTAGACTCAGCAGGAGCCTGACCTGTAACTTATAAAGTGCACCTCGTCCCCCCACCCCCGCAAGCCCCACGGACCTTATTTTTATACAAGATTAATAAAGATGTTTGCAATGATCCGCGTCCGCTCCGTGCCCAGCCCCACCACGCGCAGCCTGTTTCTCTCAGCAAACGCTTTCCTTGTACACGCTCTTCATAGCAGGTCTGGGCAAACAAGCTGGCAACGGGGAGAAGGGCTGCTTCTGTGCTAGAGCTGGGGGGGAGGGAGACAGCTTCGAGGGGCGCATATGCCCTAGTGGCTGGCCCACGAATCCTGCGGGAGGGCAGAGGGGCGTGCGAGGGTCGAGCGGGCAGCTCAGGATGGACCCACGCCGGGGTGGCACCATCTCAGTCCGCTTTCCTGCTGCCCCGTCCCATTTCAGCCCGTCCTGTCTCTTACCTGGGTGCGCCGTCCTTTCGCCGGGTGCTGCCTGAGTCACTCCCATCTCTGCCGGCCCCGCCCCATTTCTTTCGATCCTGCTCCCACTTTTCGCCTGCCGCGCCCCTGCCCGCCGGTCGCGCCCTATCTGGGCGTCCCGCCTCCGCGCCGTGTGCCCCGCCCCTTTCTCCCCAGCCCCCTCCCACCCCGCGCACGCCCCGCCCCTCATCTGCATGCCCCTCCCCGCCCGGCTCAGAGCGGTCGCAGGTTGGACGGGCGCTTGGGGCGGCCGGACTGGGAGCGTTTGGGAAGTCGCACTGCGGGACTGGGGCGGGGCTCCGCGTCCTGCGTTCCGGCTGCGTCCGCCCCGCCACCGGGGGTCTCTGAGAGCAGGGGCTGCGCGCACCTGGGGCGAGCACCGGGAACGAGGAAGAGGAGTGACTGGGAGAGTCCCCCCTCCCGCCGGTCCGCACCCCCCGGCCCCCCCTCGAAGTTATTACGCGCACGCCCCGCCCCTCATCTGCATGCCCCTCCCCGCCCGGCTCAGAGCGGTCGCAGGTTGGACGGGCGCTTGGGGCGGCCGGACTGGGAGCGTTTGGGAAGTCGCACTGCGGGACTGGGGCGGGGCTCCGCGTCCTGCGTTCCGGCTGCGTCCGCCCCGCCACCGGGGGTCTCTGAGAGCAGGGGCTGCGCGCACCTGGGGCGAGCACCGGGAACGAGGAAGAGGAGTGACTGGGAGAGTCCCCCCTCCCGCCGGTCCGCACCCTCCGGCCCCCACTCCCGCGCAGCCAGGGGCGCACCTGCTTTGTACAGTCTGTGCAGGGAGCGCGCCAGCTCGTGGCTGGAGAGGCCGCCGACGCGCGCGGGGCGGCCGGGGCCGCGGTACCAGCCCCTCCAGTCTGGACTCAGCCGCAGAGCCCGCTGCTTCTTCGAGTAGTAGCTTGGAGACGAAAGGTGGGGCAGCCGCCTCAGATGCCACCTCCCCCAGTCCTCTCCATCTCACGGGTGGGGAAACCAAAGCAAGACAGGAAGACGTCTTTGGTCAGGGGCGAGTTGGGGCCCAGGAAACTGACTCAGAATTCAGGGTCCCGTCTCCGGAGCGGCAACATCAGGGGCTCCCTGCACAGGGCAGGGTCTGAGGCCCCCATTCTGGGCCTGGCAGCTGGGTACGGTTGTGCCCACTTCATCATCTCCTGCACCGACTTGGAGGGCACAAAGCCCTGGTTCAGCAGCTTGAACACCATTTCTAAGAAGAGGGTCTGCAGGCCCTGGGGAGGGGGGCGGTGTCACAGAACCGACTGCCCCTCACCTGGCCTGGGGGACAAAGGACATGGGGGGAGGGTGAGGAGGGACTTCCTGCAGGCCAGGCCCACTCCAGCCCCACCAGCCTTGCCCCTCACCCATGCACTGAGCCAAGCGGTGGTTGTCAGCGAGGACACCCAGGAAGACTTCGAAGCCTATGATTCCATCACCTGGGAAGAGAGAGATGAGAGGGGGGTGCTATGGTTCCTGCCCCTGCAGAAGGCCCGCCCTGCATGCACGTTAGGGGCTTGCCAGTAGTTCTAGGTGTTACAGAATCCATCTTGCCTCTAGCCAAGCGTAGACCCCAGTTTGAGTAGGGGAGAAATAGCCCTTGCCTTGGGGCAGCCCAAGTCAGCATAGGGATGAACACAGAAGCAATGTTTAAGGGCCATGGGATAGGTGTGTTCATCAGGGCAGGCTTCCTGGAAGAGGGAATGTTAAAATAGGGCCAGGCCAGGGATTCTGTGGTCAGGGGAGGCATTCTTCAGGAGAATGCCTGGAGGTGGGAGAGAACAAGAGGGTAGGGACGGGGCACCCATCCTCCAAGTCTGCCTGCCGCAGAGCCTCACACATCTCCCGTGGACTCAGCTGGATACCCACACTGTGCAGGGCCACTTTTATGCTGTGCATATCCCCAGTGCCTGTTGGGTTGGAGCTGAACAGTTTGAAGATATCCTGGAAGGCTGAGGGTAGAGAGGGGGGCAGGCAGCAAGGTCAAACACCCACTCTAGCTCAGGTAGGACTGACGACTTGGACCATTGCAACTCCCTGGGTGGCTGCTGTGTGTTGGCGCTTGTGAAGTTTTCACTCAATCCTCATGTCCAAAATTCATGTTTGGACATTTTTGTATAAAAAAAGAAACTCATGTGTAAGGTCATGCCTGGCAGTCTGGATCTGGAGCTACAGTGCTCTGGAGCCCTGCTGGTGCCTGGCATGTAGCAGGCACTGACAATTGTTGATGAATAAAATGATTTGCTTTGAGGGGCCGCTGCCATGATCAGGACATGATCTTTGGAGAGCATTGGGACAGTTCCTTCTACCTCTACCCCCAAAGCCCCAGACCCCAGGTGGGCATGAGAACTTGGATTTTTTTTCTCCATCTTTTCTCCCCCTTTCCTTCCTCCCTTCCTCCTTTACATTCTGTTCATCCCTCTATCCATCCATCCATCCAAATCCCTTCATTCACTATTCACCAGTCCATCTAGTTTTCTTTTTCTTCCCTCCATCCTTTACACAAACACACACACACATTTCTGAGGCCAAACACATCAGTGAGCCGTAGGGTTATAGAGATGAGCAAACTAGACTGGTGTGGAGGGAAGGTTACAAACACTGGCTTCTTGCAGTGACCCCAGCTTCAGGGCAGGCAACTCCTTGTAGTTCTGCCTTGAGCATCCCCTAATTTTCCTCCCCACTCCCTGCCTTGGGGCCCTTACCTGCCAGCTGCTGGGGTGTCAGGGGTAGTACGTTCTCATCTGTCAAGCTGCCCCAGAGGGAAGAGGTTGGAAAGGCCTTTGCACCTGCTGCAGAGAGATGCCAGGGCCAGGCAGGCTTTACCCCAAACCCAGCACGCAGGCCTGGTCTCCCGTCCCTGCCCTCACCTCTGAGACTCAGTAACTGGCCTGGGCCATGCTGAACGGGTAGCTGCAGTGCCCTTAAATTCCCTTGCCCTCCGTGGGGCATGCTGAGCCTTTGTGGCCACGGCTGCTGCTGTCTCCATGGGGGTCAGCTGGGGAGTACGCAGCCGCAGCCTCCCCTTTTACATCCTGCCGGCCTGCTCTTCCTCTCCTTGATCTCATGTGAGCAGCTTTTGAGGCTTCTCTGGAGGCTTTAGAGGCAGGGAGAAGATAGGGCAGAGGGGCCCAGCCCACTCAAGTGCTCAGACTCCAGGGGACCTGGGACCAGGCCTCTGAGCAAGTAGTTCTACCTCCTTCCAGGATTCTCTATACCAGCCTTCGATCCAGGGGATTTTGGGGGCAGGGCTGGGCCAGTGATCTCCCCAACCCTGGATGAGGGAGAAGGACCCTTGTCCAGCCCTGGTCACCTATTTGATCTCTGTGCTGATGGGGATCTTTTGGTCTTCTGCCCTCTGCTGCCTGAAAGGCAGAGTCGCAGACTCTGAGCTGGTCCATTGCCCCAGACCTGCAGCCCCTAGGCTGCCTTTGTGGTGGATTTTAACATCTTTTGGCAGGAGGTGCACTCTCTCCCTCACCATAGGCCTGCTTCTCCCTGCTGGGACACCTACTGCTTTATTCTTTTGACTTTCTTCCTCCCTTAGGGCATCTGAATTTTTGACTCCCCTCTGGATGTTAAGTCAGGATGGCAGAAGCCTGGAGGGAGAAGCAGACCCCAGGGTCCTGAATCCAGAGGACAGGAAGGCCAGGTCCAGCCCAGTACAAACCCATCTTACCACATTTAAAAAAATATTTCAGGAAACCTTAACAAATTTAAAAGAATAATATTGTGAATGTAACTAGTGCCACTGAATTGTATACCTACAAATGGCTAAATGGTAAATTGCATGTTATATATATCTCACCACAATTTATAAAATTTAATAACTTAATATACTGAAAACCACTGAACTGTACACTTTAAATGAGTGAATTGTATTATATACAGCTATCTCAATAAATTTGTTAAAAAGCCACAAAAAAATCAAAAAGATCCCACAATGTTTGCTCTCAGATCACAGTGTAATTAAAATAGAAATCACTAACAGAAAGAGAGCTGGAAAAATCTCAAAATACTTGGAGATTAAATAACACATTTCTAAATAATACATGGGTCAAAGAAGAATCTCAAGAGAAATTTTAAAATATTTTGAACCAAAATGAAGATGAAAATACAACTTATTCCAAATTTGTGGGATGCAGCAAAAGCAGTGCTTAGAGGGAATTTTATAGCATTGAATGCATATTTTAGAAAAAGAGAAAGATCTAAAATCAATAAGTTTCCACCTTAGGAGACTAGGAAAAGAAGAGCAAATTAATTCTAAAGTAAGCAAAATTAAAGTAGTAAAAATTAGAGCAGAATCAATGAAATTGAAAGCAGGAAATCAACAGAGAAAAAAATCAACAAACCCAAAACTAGTTCTTTAAAAAGATCAGTGAAATCAATAAGACTCTAGCTAGGCTAACTAAATTTTTAAAAAGGAGAAAAGACAAAAATTACTAATATCAGATATCACGGACATTTGAAGGATAATAAAGGAATATTATGAATAACTCCATGCCTACAAATTTGATAACCTAGATAAAATGGACCAATTCCTTGAAAAACACCATTTGTCAAAACTCACACACAAAGAAAGAAACAATCTGAATAGGCCTGTATCTATAAAAGAAATTGAATCAATAATTAACAACCTTCTAAAACAGAGAACACCAGGTTCACATGGGCTGACTGGTGAGTTCTACCAAACATTTAAGGAAGAAATTTTACCATTTCTCTACAATCTCTTTCAGAAGATGGACATCAAGGGACTGGATCCTAACTCATCCTATAAGACCAGCATTAACCTAATACCAAAACCAGAAAAAGGTATTACCAGCAAACAAATCTACAGATCAATATTTCTCAGGAACACAGATGTCAAAATCTTCAACAAAATAGTAGTAAATTGAATCCAGCAATGTATAAAAAGAATTATACCTCACGACCAAGTGGGATTTATCCCAGGAATGGAAGGCTGGTTCAATATTTGAGGCTCAATGAATGTAATCCATTACATTGACAGGTGAAAGAAGAAAAATCACATGATTATATGAACAAATGCAGAAAAAACATTTGACAACTCTAACATCCATTCACAATAAAAACTCTCAGTAAATTAGGAACATGAGAATGTCAACTTAATAAAGAACATCTACAAAAACCCTACAGTTAACATAACACCTAGTGGTGAGAAATTTGAAGCCTTCCTGCTAAGACTATGAACAAGGCAAAGATGACCCCTCTTTAATGCCCCTCTTTAAATATCACCGCTCTTTAAAATTGTATTGGAAGTCTTAGCTAATGCAACAAGACTACAGAAGGAAGTAAAAGGTACACAGATCTGGAAGGAAGAAATGAAACTGTCTTTATTCACAGATGACCTGATTGTTATCCACATCCAAAAATCAATCTAGACACAGACCTTCTAGACACAGACCTTACACCATTCACAAAAATTAACTCAAATAGATCATAGGCCTAAATGTGAAACACAAAACTATAAAACTCCTAGAAGATAACATAGGAGATAACCTAATTAAGCACAGATATGGCAATGGCTTTTTAGATATTACACCAAAGACATGATCAGCTGGACTTCGTTAAAATTTAAAACGTCAGGCAGGGCTGGCTCAGTTGGCTAGAGCATAGTGCTGATAACACCAGGGTGCAGGGTTCAATGCCTATACCTGCCAGCTGCCAAAATAAATAAATAAATAAATAAAAATACTTTCTGCTCAGCAAAAGAGAATGTCAAGAGAATGAGAAGATAAGCTACAGCCTAAGAAAAAATATTTGCAAAAAGACACATTTGATAAAGGACTGTTATCCAAAATATACAAATAACTCTTAAAACTCAACACTACAAAACTGAACAACTGGGCAAAAGATCTGGACAGACAGCTCACTAAAGAATATATACAAATGGAAATAAGCCTATGAAACATGTTCAACGTCATACGTCATTGGAGAACTGCAAATTAAAACAACGAGGTACCACTACACACCTGTGAGCATATCAAACTCCAGAACACGGACAACACCCAGTGCTGGTGAGGACGTGGGACAATAGGAGCTCCCATTCATTGCTGGTGGGAATGCAAAATGGCGCAGCCACTCCGGGAGACAGTTTGGCAGTTTCTTACAAAAGCATGCATACCCTTACCATATGATCCAGCAATTGTGCCCTTGGTATTTACTCAAATGATCTGAAAACTTACGTCCACACAAAAACCCTCATGTGGATGTTCATAGCAGCTTTATCCATTATTGCCAGAACTTGGAAACAACCACGATGTCCTTCAGTAGGTGAATGGATAAGTGAGACAATGGGATATTATTCAGCGCTAAAAAGAAAAGAGCTATCAAGCCGCAAGAATACATGGAGGAAACTTGAATGCATTTTAGTAGGTGAAAGAAGCCGATCTGAAAAGGCTACATACCGTATGATTACAAATATATAACGTTCTGGAAGCGGTAAAGCTGTAGAGACAGTAAAAGTACCAGCGGTTGCCAGGGGTTAGGGAGGGAGAGATGAATAGGAGAAGCACGGAGGGTTTTTAGGGCAGTGAAACTACCCTGTATGAGACTTTAATGGTGGATACGTTATTATACATTTGTCCAATCCCATAGAATGTACAACACCAGGAGTGAACCCTCGTGTAAACTACGGGCTTTGGGTGACGATGACGCGTTCATTGATTGTAACAGATGCACCGCTCTGTGCGCAGGATGTGGACAGTGAGGGAGGAGGTTGCATGTGGGTGGGGATGGGGCATATGGGAACTCTCTGTACTTTCCACTCAATTTTGCTGCAAACCTTAAACTCCTCTAAAAAGTAAAGTTTATTAAAAAAACACACTCCAGAAGATGAATCCTTAAAGCCTGATGAAACGCCTTGCTCGGTGCCCCCCAGACACTGAGCTCTGCATTTCCTCCTTGTCCCTCCCAGCCTCCTGTCCCCTTCTCTTTCTGGCCCCGGCCCATTCTTAACAGCTTACTCCTTCCTAATCCCACTCTCCAGGCCCTGGGCACCTCTCTCCTTGGGCCCCTTCCTAATCCCACTCTCCAGGCCCTGGGCACCTCTCTCCTTGGGCCCCTTCCACGGCTGGGGCAGGCTCTTGCAGATCTGCAGGGCTGGGCTTTCACTTGCGGGGCTCCTGGGGCCCAGAGTGGGTCATGAGGCTGACCAGGGCCCAAGTCATGGCATGACCTCCCCTTTTCTTTCTCCGAGACTTCCCTCTCCACACCCGTGTCCGTCCCTATAATCCCAATTCCCTTCCTTCCTTTGCTGCCACCTCTCCTCTGCCAGAAGCTTCCTTACATTGCCCGACCTCTGGGCCTCCAAGGCCAAACCCCGGATGTGGGGAGGCTTGTGCACCTGTGTGCATGCTTTGTATATGTGACTGGGTCACAGGCACACGTGTGCGGGGCATATGCGGAGCGTGCTTGCTCTGCCTGCATATGTGGACGTGTCATGTGAGTGCTGTGCGTGTGACGTGCTGGTCAGCTGGTGATGTGTATGTGCATGCACGTGCACATCTGGGTTGTGTGGAGATGTGCACCATTACCCATGGACTCTCCCCTACATTTTGAGGAAGCTCCAGCTCATGGCTGTGGCCCCGAGGACCAGTCCTTTGGCCCCTTTTTCCCCTCCTTCAAGCCCCTGGACAGTGTCCCTTCCCCTGCCAGGTCATCCCTGTGGAGAGAGGCTTCAGACTTGCTTTCTTGCCTGCCCAGTGCCACCCCCAGGAGGCCATCTCCTCAGATGATCCCAACATGTCCCTGGCTTCAGGACAAGATAAAGTCCCATTCAGCATCATAGGGGGCATGGGGGCCTCCCCAAGGCTCTCTGTGAGGTTTTCCTGCTGGCCTAGAGTCTGGCTAATGGGGAGTGACATGGAGCTTGCCCATGGGGAGTGAACAGAGGTGAGACAAGTGGCCAGGAACAGGGTCAGCATTACCCTCAGGGGGCAGGTGGGGGTGGGGAAGCTGAAAACAGGGTGGGATTCCAAAAAAACGAGACCAGGATACGGCAGCCAAGTGAGCTCACTGGTCCAGGAGAGTTTGCACAAAAAGTCTGAGCCAGGGGCCAGCACTGGAGGCTTTACTGGTTTTGTCTAGTCACTTCTCTGGGGTAGTGGGGGATGACACCTTAAAATGGATTTTCAGGAATAATGGATTCCCTTTCTTGGTTCCCGGTACTGAGCTGCAACACAAAAGAGAGAGTGTCACTTGGGCCTCAGAGGGAAGGTTGGGGGGAGGCGGAGCACAGAGGCCTCTCTGAGGAGGTCACTGGGGGTGAGAGGGCCTTGTCCTGCTGCATACTGCTGGGCAGGTGCCTTTTTGTTCTGTGTCCATTCATCACCAAGAAGCAGGGATACTGGAGGACCCTGCCCCTTCATTCTCCCCTTGACAGAAGTGTCCAGGCTGGGGCCATCAGGCTCTCAGCAGGGCAGAACTAGCCAGAGCATTGGATGGAGGTGAGGCTACTCCCCCTGGCTGGGAAGCTTCATAATGCTGGCATGGCCCTTCCCACTTTGACCCCAGGTCCCTGCCCTAGCCCTGGAGTGCTCACCCTTCATTGTCCCCAGGCCACCTCTGGCCCTGGCCTTTGGACTGCATCTCAGTCCACCGGAAACTTGTTTCCAGCAGCCTTTATGAGGTCACCGAGTTGAGGCATCACAGCCCGTCATTCCACTGGTTCCCCCCCACCCCCGACCTACCCATCCTAGCAGAGCCCTCACAGGGGAGCTGTGGGTTGGCCTCACTTACTCTTCCTTGGCTCCCTGCAGCTGTGGGGATATGGCTGGTGGCTGGAGAAGCTGCACTTCCCCTTCAATGGTGGCGCTCTTGACCCCCGGCTTACTAAAGTCAAGGTAAGAGCAAGGGAAGTGCTTGTCTGCCTGATTCCAAGCTCTCTGTGGCTCCCCGGCTTCAGGTGGTTTTTCTGGCAGTGTCTCTGTGCATGTGTCCATAGTGGGCTCTGTAGAAGGCTCCATGGCCTTCTGAGGTGAAGCTTTGATCATGTGTCTCAAATTGGGCAAGTCCATCTTGCTGGAGGAGGACAGGGCCAGGGAAGATGCAAAGTTGATGAGCTCTGTCAGGCCAATGGCCTTGGGGAGACTGGGGGAGGACAGGCAGGGGTTTGCTGGCGGCTGGGAGTTTGTGGCTGCAAGAGCTGGATGGACGTTGGGGGTCTGGAGCTGCTGCTTGGAGCACAAGGTGTCCATGGGGACAGACACTTGGCCCGGCTGGCTGGTCTTGCTTGCACTGCTTTCATTGACCTGCATGTTTACTGACCGTTGCAGACTGTGTTCTGAGGCCTGGATGAGCTTGTTGGCTGAGAAGAGGTGTTGGGAGGTCTGCACGCAGATGGAGTGATGTTTGATGGACATCTGGTCCTCCTCCATGGAACTCAGGTAGCTGGAGTTTGACTTCAAGCTCCACTGTGTAATGTTCTGTGGCATAAGCAGCCCCTCTGGGTAGGGGTTGACAGGCTCTATCCTGTACCCCTGCTGCTCATGGTCTTTGTCGCAGGGCTCCACGTCCTGCTGAGCTCCAGGCTTGGCTGTCGGGTACATGTCGGACTGCAGCAGGGCCTTGAGGTCCAGTTCCATCCCTAGGTCTGCCTCCGGCTCTGGGTCTGGGTCCGGGTATAGGTCCAGGTCTAGGTCCACTTTGGGTGGGGGCTCTTGTTCTGACAGTTCTTCCTCCAGCTGAAAGGTTTCCATTAAACACTGAGGAGGCAAGAGCTGGAGGTCCCTGTCCCCAAGGTCCTCCCTGGCACTGCATCTCCGCCCCAGCCCCACCTGGGTACTGCTCACTTCCTCCCGCACACTTGCCTCTTCTCAGAGACCCGCCTGGGCATGCGGGCAGGTCGTGAGGGTGGTGAGTGTCAGCGTGCCCACCCTGGCCTGGTACTAGGGTTCCAGGATTGTCAAAGAAGCCTGCCCCTTGCCCACCACCTCCCCACAAGAGGTGACCCTGCCCACTCCTGCCTTTATATCATCTTCCTCTTGTGCCATTGAAAGGTGGGACTGGTGTTGATGTTGGTTTAAGTCATTCCTAAGACAGGAGGAGACAGAATGTGTGATAAGGATCCATGGGATGGGTAGTGGGGCTTCAGGGAGAAAAGGGGGCCCTCAAGGCCACCTGTCTTGCACAGGGGCTGGCAAAAGTTCCCCAGCTCATTCACTTCCTTAGCTGTTCTCACTCCCACCAAGAATTCTGGAATGATATTCTCATACTTTAGTGAGCTAAATCCCTCACCCCCAGAGAGAGATTCCGTTGGTCGGGGGTGAGGCCCGTGAATCTTTGTTTTTATCAAGCTTTGCAGGTGAGCTGACACAGTTCACTTTGAGAACCAGTGCCCAGAAAGGGGCTCCCTACAGAGGGGAGAGCCCAGAGCAATGTCACCCCCAGCTGCCCACTCCCAGCTTGGCAGATCTGAACAGCCAGAGGGGTGGGTGGGCGTGCAGGCTTCCCCTGGTTCTTCTCAACCCTCAGTGCTCAGCTGTTGTGATTCCAGCTCTTTCCTCAGGCACCTGCTCACCCCCTCCTCGGACAGCTCTGTTCTCAGTGAGCAGGGCAGCGCTAAGGGGTCAGGTCCTATCCATGTCCCTGGGTCCTCCCCCCACCGCCCCTTCCTCCTCTAATGTCAGGGGCTGAAGGCAAAAACAGAAGGGGGATGGTAGACACCCCCTTCCCATCCCCAGCCTTTTGGCCTGGATACTGCCCTTGGGGAGATTTTGGAAATGGGCAAAATGGAGATCCTAGGTCGGGGAGTACATTGTGTCACAGGGTAAGGGTTGGAGGTCCTGGAGGGTTGGGGGTAGGTTCCATGGTGACGGGAGATTGATTCTCACTGTGTCTCCACGATTTGCACCGACTCCTTGCCACAGCAGGGAAATCCGCTGGCACCTGGCAGAGAGAAGGAGGTCAGGGCAGGGAGCTGCATTGCGGGGAGCAGACCTTGAGGGATTGTGGCACCAGGGCCGGAGGTGCCACTCCAGCCACCCCTCCCTCCGTCTCTCCCTTTCCCTCACTCGGCCTGGCTGGCCTCCCCTCTCCCATCCTGCCCTGTCTTCTCTTCCTTGTCAACTAGCCCTACCCTCCACGTCTACCTTCCTCCACCACCATCTTTGCCTCGCCTCCGCCTCTCCCAGACCCGTCCATAAGGGCGAACGCTAACGGCACTCCCTTCCATTGATCAGTGCTGCTGGACCCCAGGTTCATTTACCCAACGTCCCACAGCTGATCGTTGCTTAAGTGAGGATGTGAATAAAGTTTTGACTCAAGAATCTCTTCATTCCCTGTTCTCCCCAGAGACTGTACCTGAGTGGGGTCCCCATCCCACCCCAGGGCTGCCTTCCTTTTCTCCCTCCACTTCTGCTCCTCCACCTGCTTTCTCCACCCTCTCTGGGTCATCCGTCCCCAACACCAGGCCAAGGCCCCCAGCCCAGGTGCTTGACCTGAGGGGACGCCAACACCTCTCTTGTGATTTATGAGCTTGATCGCCCTCTGCAGAGGACACTGAGTGACTCCTCTGGGACCCGACCCTTCCCTTGATGCTTGTATCCTTTATCGCAGAAGCTGCTTCTTCATCCCCTGGGGCTGGGGCACCCGGCTGCCCCGTTCTCTGCTCCCCAGGCAGTGAATAGGGGTTGATGGTGGGACCACCACAGCAATCATGCCATCATGCAAGGTGGGTCCCTGTGAGCTGGGGTGTGGCAGGAAGTGACAGCCCTGGTTCTGGCTGAGAAGAATTGCTTCCAGGATTATATCAGAAGTAGAAGTTGCTGCACATCCTCCTAGAGATGTAGAGGGTGAGGGTGGGGTCCTTGCATGGCTGGTCCTGGGACTGGAATTTGGGCACATCCGTGTTTTCAGCCTGGGCCTGGGAGATCTTGGATCAGCTGAGTGGTGGGCTTTGGACAGGCCCCCCGATGGCCAGCTCAGTGGTCTCTTCAGAGCCCTTCACTTCCTCGACCACCATTCTCCCCTGGCTTCCTCACATCTCCCTTCTCCATCTCCAACTTCACCTGCCCCAAGAGCTGCTGTTCCCCAGGCTTCCAAACTCAGAACTTCTTTGCCTGTTTTACAAAATTTCCCTGGGCAATTTAATCAACATCCACAGTCTCAACCCTTCCCTAAATAGCAACTGGGTATGGACAGGAGGAGAAATTATTATGGTGTGAGCACTGGAGTTGGAAAAAAAAGTCTACGGTTGACTCAACTTGGGACCTCAGTGCCTGAGTTGGGAATGTTCTATCAGGGATTCAAGCGACATTCTGTAGTATATGAAATAATTTCAATTTCAAATGGTTTATTGCTAATATATAGAAATGTATTGATCTTGTATCCTGCAACCATGCTAAAATCTTATTGGTTCTAATAGCTTTTTTTGGTAGATTCTATAAGATTTTCTAGATAGAAAATAATGTCTGTGAATCAAGGCAATTTTACTTCTTCCTTCCCAATCTGGATGCCACATTTCCTTTTCTTGTCTTATTGCACTGGAAACAATCCCCATACAATGTTGACTAGAAGTAAGAGTGGACATCCTTGCTTTCTTTCTGAGATTAGGGGGAAAGCATTCAGTATTTCACCATTAAGTATATTGTTAGCTGCAGTTTTTTTCACAGATGCCATTTATTAGATTAAGGATGCTCCCTTTCCTAGTTTGCTTAGTTTTTTTTTTTTTTTTCCTTTTTTGTCTTTTTTCGTGTCCGGCAACGGATCGCAACCCTCAGTGTCGCACCCGCACCGGACCGGGACCGGCAACGGGATCGCAACCCTTGGTGTCGCGCCCGCACCTCGCTCAGCCAGTGAGCGGCCAGTCTGTATGTGGGATCCGAACCCTCGGCAGGAGCGCCGCTGCGCTCCCAAGCGGCGCACTGTAGCAGTGCGCCACCGGGCCGGCCCTTTCCTCCTTTTCTAATATAGGAGTTTATTGCTGTTACTAGCTGCATGCTGCAAATATCAATGCTGTTTCCGTTTTCTTTCAGTTCACAATACTTTCTAATTTTGACTTTGATTTGACACGTGAGTTATTCAGAAGTGTATTATTTTCCAAATATTTGGGGATTTTCCAGTTATCCTTCTGGTATTGATTTTTAATTTAATTCCATTGTGGTTAGAGAACAGATGAAGTATGATGAATACTTTTAAATTTTATTGAGACTAAAAAATGGCCCAGAGGGCCGGCCCATGGCTCACTCAGGAGAGTGCGGTGCTGATAACACCAAGGCCACGGGTTCGGATCCCACATAGGGATGGCTGGTTAGCTCACTGGCTGAGCGTGGTGCTAACAATACCAAGCCAAGGGTTAAGATCCCCTTACCGGTCATCTTTATAAAAAAAAAAAAATGGCCCAGAATATGATCTATTTTGTGAATTTGAAAAGAACATGTATTATGCTGTTGTTGGATGGAATGTCCCATAAATATTAATTAGGTCATGTTAATAGGTAGTATTATTTGAATCTTCTATATCCTTACTGATTTTGTGTCTACTTGTTCTATCAATTATTGAGAGAGGAGTGTTGAAATCTCTAACTATAATTGGATCTGTCTGTTTCTCCAGGCAGTTCTATCAGTTTTTGCTTCATGTATTTTAAAGCTCTGATATTAGGTGCATAAACATTAAGGATAGTTTTTAAAAAAATTTTTATTGATGGACCAGCCCCGTGGTGCACTCGGGAGAGTGCGGCACTTGGGAGTGCAGTTGGCGCTCCTGCCTCAGGTTCAGATCCTATATAGGGATGGCCGGTGGCTCACTGACTGAGTTCGGTGCGGGCAGCACCAAGCCAAGGGTTGCCGGTCACAGAAAAGACCAAAAAAAAAAAAATTTATTGAATCATAATTGATTATACATATTTTTTGGTTCAATGTTGACATATGTTGATCAAATCAATACTACTGGTATATATATTGTTACAAGTTGTACTTATTCTTTATGCCCCTTGTCCAATCTCTCCCTCTCCCTCTCCCTCCCACCTCCCACCACTGATAACCCTAGATTTCTTCTCTCCTTCTGAAAGAGTAATGGTTACTCTGTTGATTTGTTGCTTGGATGATCTCTCCAATGCTGAGAGGTGTGTTCAGGTCCCCCAATATTATCCTAGAGCTGATGCTTCTTCTGTCACTCTGGAATGGGCTTTGTGGAGAGAGAGATCCTCTTCTTTTCTTTGGTCTCTGCTGGTGACTCTCCTTGTGTCAGTGCCCTCCTGTGGCTGGTGGACCATCTGCATGGTGGTTGTGGTGTCTAGCTGCTTTCACGGCAGCCATGGTTATTGTAGTGGCTGTGGTGGGCCACCCACATTGAGGGGGTGCTTTTGGCATGCTCCTTGGTGCTGGTGGTGTACCTGGTTGTGGGAGGGGGTCCGGTCCCCAGCTCCATGTCCCAGGTCCCTGGGCAGGCCCTGAGGTGCTGGTTGTCCTTGCCATGCCCCAGTGTTCTCCTGGTGGGCCCGTTTTCCCCACCGCCTGTGCTGCAAACACTTCCCATGGGATGGGCTGTGCACTGGTCCCTTGTGATGACTCACTGGCCTCTGAGTGGCTCCTTTTTTTCAGTTGTTGTGGCCCCTCACTCCTATGTGGGTCCACAGGAACTCTATCATCTGGTCTTGCTGGCCTGAGGGCCACCAAGGCCCTCTTCTCCCCTGCTGACTCCAAGCAACTTCATCGAAGGGCACAGCTGCAGCTTTTCCTAGCTCCTGCTCCCTGCACTCAGCAGCTCCAGCCTTAAGGTGGCCATGACATGAAATGGTCGGAGCGATTTTTTCTTTCTCTCATCGTGGCTTCTCCCACCTTCATGCACTCCCTAGGTCTCCCTTCCTCTTCCCCTAAGCTCTAGTGGCCCCAGCTTGGCTGTTGTTGCTTTTTTATAGTTGTCAATTTGTTGATTTGTGGGAGAGAGTGACACTGGGGATCATCTATTCTGCCATCTTGACTGGAAGCATAGCAATATTCTTTGATCTGAAATCTACTTTGAGTGATATTAATATAGCCACTTCAGCTTTCCTATGATTAGTGTTAGCATGGGATATCTTCTGGATCCTTTTACTTTTAATCTCTTTGTGTCTTTATATATTTAAAGTGGGTTTCTAATAAGCAGCATATAGTTGAATCTCGCTCTTTTAATCCACTTTGCTAATCTCTGCCTTTTAACACTAACTGTGATTATTGGGCTTAAATCTACCATCTTGCTATTTGCTTTCTACGTGTTTCATGTTTTGTTTGTTCCCTTTTTCCTTTTCTTAATGCTTTCTTTTGGATTATGTATTTTTATGATTCCATTTTATCTTTTGTGTTGGCTTTTATTAGCTATAACTCCTGTGGTTATTTTAGTTGCATTAAGGTTTATAATATGCAGCTTTAGCTTATCACAGTCTACCTGCAAATAATATTATACTACTTGGAATATTTACAATAGCCAAGAGTTGGAACCAGCCCAAATGTCCATCATCAGATGAGTGGATACGGAAAATGTGGTATATCTACACAATGGAATACTACTCAGCTATAAAAACGAATGAAATACTGCCATTTGCAACAACATGGATGGACCTTGAGAGAATAATATTGAGTGAAACGAGTCAGGCAGAGAAAAAGAAATACCACAGAGGTTCCTCAAACAGTTGCAGATTGATCTACCATATGACCCAGCTATTTCACTGCTGGGAATATATCCAAAGGAATGGAAATCATCAAGTCGAAGGTATACTTGTTTCCCAATGTTCATTGCAGCACTCTTCACAATAGCCAAGAGCTGGAATCAGCCCAAATGTCCATCATCGGATGAGTGGATACGGAAAATGTGGTATATCTACACAATGGAATACTACTCAGCTATAAAAACGAATGAAATACTGCCATTTGCAACAACATGGATGGACCTTGAGAGAATTATATTAAGTGAAACGAGTCAGGCAGAGAAAAAGAAATACCACATGTTCTCACTTATTGGTGGGAGCTAAAAATAAATAAATAAATTCACTCACACACACACAAAATAACCGGGGTGGGGGGAGAAGATATAACAACTACAATCCTTTGAAGTTGTTACAACAAGCAAACGGAAAGGACATTGTTGGGTGGGAGGGGGGGAGAGGGAGGAGGGAGGGAGGTTTCGGTGATGGGCCATAATAATCAACCACATTGTATATCGACAAA